TATATATATATATATCCCCCTCTCTCTCTTTCTTTCTCCCCACATAGCTTGTTCCTTTCGGAGATGAACATTTAATTCGAAGGTCCTGCTAACAGAGTTGAAAGGGTGTGCCATACCATATTGCATAGAGGCCAATTTTCAGACAGGTCAACGCCATTTCTTCCATTCTTCTTTTTAATGCATTTTGAGTCTCCAAATGTTCGACTTCCTGCTCGTAGCATACATCAAGAAATGGAAGCTATAATTGTGACGAACATTAAGAAATGGAAGCTGTAATTGTGACGAACTTTTAGAAACAGAAGCTGTGATTATAATATATTATATGAAAGATGTGACTGTTTTGTCCCACAGGCGACTGGCGAACAACCAGATAAAGGAGATCGCTGACCATGCTTTCTATGGACTCTCGAAAATGAAATACTTGTGAGTACATGCATTTTTAGCCGTACTGAGGTACTAAGACCATAAGATTTTTTTTAAAACACAAATATTATATATGCTTATTATGTTAAAATAGTAAGATTATTCGAAGTCGTCACGATATTCAAATAACTGCATTTGAAAAAGCTTAACATAATGTGAAACTCAAAATCTTTGATGTTAAATTTCTCAAAACTAGATACTGAGCAGATAGAGCTTTGTAATTCTAAGGTAGTGAAGCTTCCTTCAGATGTTGATCCTTCCCCTGTTTTTGTTTTTGTTTTTTTGTTGCCATTATCCATTGAATTCAGATTGAGTATCTCTGTCTTTCTGCTGGGACGGCGTATACCTCTCAGCCTGGGTTACATCCGACAGGCAGGGTCAAAACCCGCCTCCTAAAAGATCTCAGTTATGTCAATATTTGTGTAATAAACATGTAAAAGAAAAGCACTGGCCTATCCGATTTTCCGTCCCTTCCGATCATGTAGAATTGAGTAGCTGAACGTGCACACTACTCAAAAGTAAAGTGGATATTACAATTTTTTTCAAGACTCGGCTTGATCTTGTTTCCTCAACCAGTTGAATCAATAGTAAGTACACAGTGGAGATTCCAATTGCCCAACCATCGCTCTAGAAGCTTAATTATACTTGACTAGTTAGTCTTATAATCTACGTTATTTTTACTTCACCCGGATTGAATGGCTCTCCTTCGACAACAGTCAATAATAGCCTTCAAATTGCTGCAGGCATGTGGCAAGAGGCAGGAAGAAGGTACAAGGAGAGAGTTTATAACAATAATATTATTGTCAGTTCGCATGTGGAGAAAGTCAATTTCAACACTTTTCGGTTATTTCTGTCTTCTGCTATTGATGTCCTTCCGTTTAGATTATTTTCCTCTTCTGATATTGACGTCCAAGTCACACTGGTCATCGTCACGTGGGTTGACCAGCGTATTATGTAGTGTAGCGGATAGGTGTTTCACAATCGCAGACAAAACATGTGAGGTCGATTCTTGTGTGGGGAGGTCTATTTATTTTCGAGTATCTTCGTCTGTCTGTTGGGATGTTGCATCCCTATCAGCCTAGAGTAGTCCTAATAGCAAGGGTTAAAGCAGCTTGCCTTATAAGTGATCCTAATAATGTCGGTGGAGGTGCAAATAATTATAATTATAATTGTTTTTACCAGTGGGTTGAAGCGTTAACAGCTCCCCAACAACTCATGCAACTTTGAATTCGAAATATAATACCTTTCTGGACGCAAAAAGGCAATTTTGAAAGCAGAGTTGTAAGAGTGAAGAAAATGGCAAGAAAGAGAACGACATTGACGCCGAACATGGTTGTGTGTTAGTCTTTGTGTTCGCGTGTAGTACACATTGTAATCTGTTTCTCTACGTTTTGTAGACTGCCTTTTTGTTATTGTCCACCAACCTGGAACGAGAGCAGGTGGATGGGGCAGTCGTTTGGTATATAATTGAACCTTCTCTAACGGCCACATATCAAGGACAATCACTTGTACAAACGACCACTCCTCACTTTCCACTGTTACGTTTTTTTTAAATTAACATAGTGACACTGCTTAAACGTCAGCTTATCTAAGACTACCATTTTTCTCCTCAACAACAGATAGCCTTCTTGGACAATTTCGATTGCGTATGATGCACAGTAACCTCGTTCAGAGACAGAATCAGCACCCAATGTTTCATATCAGTATCAGCACTGTCAAACACACTTTAAACGGGGATCGCACAACATTCCAAGAAGTCTGTGTGAGGTAGCAATAACAGTCCCATAAGGAACGAAATGCTACAGTGTGGTCAAAATTTCGTGGCGCAACTTATCTTCAAATATTATCTCTTTAGCCGATGAATCAATGTCACCCATACTTACCACATCAGTTTGAATCAATTTGTTTTAATTTAATCATAATATTTGTCCACAATAATAGGGCTAGATTAAAAAACGTTTCTCCACAAATTTACATAATAAAACTCTTTGAATCTCCGTCACGCAGAATACGTGAATGTTCAAAGAACTTCCCACTTCTCACACATATTATGCATACGTATAATATGGCCTACATCACAGCTCACCAATGACACTTTTCAGTGTCAAAGCTTGTTACAAGAAATACATTTTATGTTCAACACTTTTTTGTACTAAAGATTCTTTTAAAATGCGTTCTTCTTCTCCTTCTTCTTCTTCTTCTTCTTCTCCTCCTCCTCCTTCTCCTCCTCCTCCTCCTCCTCCTCCTCCTCCTCCTCCTCCTTCTTCTTCTTCTTCTTCTTCTTCTTCTTCTTCTTCTTCTTCTTCTTCTTCTTCTTCTTCTTCGTCTGGACTTTGCTTCTCGGACCTCTCTGCAATAACACTCTGGTTAATGCAATTATGCCTGCCTGGGTTGTTTTGGTTCCAAGCCAGGGTTCTATGTCCTGTTAGCGTCTTCTGGTAGATCTCTTCCTTCATCTCTAGCCTTCTACCTCCGCATCCAGAATAGGTTTCTCGAGAATGGCATCCACACTTTTTATTTGTCATCTTATCTTAAACACAAACTGCTGGAACACTCAATCCGCTCATCGCCTTCTGTGTCTCGACTGAGATAGGCGTGTTTGGACCTACTTCAGCTTACATCTCAAGTATCCCTCATATCTAAGGTGATGAATTTTAATCATATGAAGATAATCCCTTCTCAGACTTAAAAAAAAACGTGTAGTGCACTCCTCGTCTATTTATCTAAGTGGGGCATCCTGTGTGTGTGTGTGTGGGGGGGGGGGGGGGGTAGAGGAGTATTGTTTATGTCTTTTTTTTTCGCCTTTCCAACGCCTTTGTCACAGACTAAATCGGTGAGCTTTATCTGGTGAAAGATTATTAAATCGGTATGTGGGTGTGCCTGTGTCAAAACAATATCAGAACGGCGCCCGGGAAAGCATCGGTGTTATAAGCTCGCCCACCTTCCTGAAGACACCCAGATAGGTTTTTTTAATACGTCAATTTTTCAAATAATTCTATCTTTCTTTACTTTAAGGAGTTCTCATTAAAAGTTCTGAAGATACCTGGATAGAATTTGTCTGCAAGTTTTTAAAGCAATACTTTTCATTTCCTCTGTGGAGGTCTTGGTATGTCTAGATTTTCAAACCTTTTTTAAAAAAAAGTTTTGTTTACGTATTAGTACATGTATGTGTTTCATGCAGCTTTCCCCCACCCTGTCTGTTTGGAACGACTCGATTTTACACAACAAATTCTTTCATAGGACACTAGCCGACAAAAACTGAAATCTAATGTTGTTTTAGGCTTTATTCTTAATACTCAATTTAATGGTAATGACTGTTACGATATGGATTGATTTGGTTGGAATCGCCAGAGGACCGTTCTTTTTTGTGTGAGTAAATGTAGGTGTTTTACGCCACCATCGACATGTTATTATCATTTAGGAAGTAGTCCCCAACACTACCTGTCAGGCCAGTCTGAGCTGAAAGGGATACAACGTTCCAGCACAAAGAGCCGGATACTCGAAAAAATTCTACCCAAACGGGAATCAAGCCTAGGTCTCCTGCGTGGGACGGTGAAGCGCCTCACTGCTACACCACAGACGCCGTTAGATTTTTATCTAGAAATCAAAGAGGTTATTTCTTCGACGTGGTGGGTATTTTTGCATGATAGCTTGTTGCTTAGGGTAATAACATCATCGTTTTGTCACCGCGGACTGATTCGTCGTGTTACCCGTAAAATTGATATTATTTTGACGATACGTCTCGGTCCGTAATGTGCACGGTAACGTTTAATTGGCAGACCTCCGCCCTGAGCTGTATTTGCTCTCAGAATCACAAACTTGAGCCATTTTTTCTTTAGCAGGGACACTAAAAGTTGGTAATTAAAAAAAAAAAGTTGTAATTGTCGTTAAAACAGGTTCGACTATAGTTTCGTTTTATCATGTTATTTTTGCTCCACTTTTTAACTGAGAAATAGAAGCTCTTAAGCCATGGTTCTGATTTGGCTGATCTCCTTTTCTTCAATTTCCTCAAAAACCTGGAAAAAAAATACTTTTGCGATTTTGGAATGACGTTCGTGATATTTAATTTCAGGCTGATCAGGACAAAGAATAGATGATGCGTCAAGCTTTTTCGATTACGAAACCCATGTGTAAATACAATTGCACAAAAGGTCAAACATGATATATTTACCTGTAAGACAGAAGGCAAGAATTCACTTAACAAGTGACGTAATTGGTGTGACAAGGCAGATTGTTTTGGCATCGAGTTGCCCTGCAATTCTGAATAAGGGTTTTGATAATGTTTCTACTCCCTTTTTCGGCGCGTTTTAGACTTTTTAAAAACATGAAAGATATGGATCGCGGTCCCCATGCGATTAGACTGGGAAAGGGGGGGGGGGCTTGAGCCATAGAAAGGACTACAGCTGCCTTTCATCGAAATCAGACATACAATGTATATGGGTATTTCAAAATGACCACTGCTGGTTCCATGTTCTTACCGTTATCATTTTTTCCACAGGCAAATTCACCAGAACAGCTTGAAGGATATGCCAACTGCCTTTTCTCATCTAATCTCCCTGGATGAGCTGTGAGTTCTTTTGGTCTATGATTTTATCTGTTTGTCTATAGGTCAATAGTTTAGTAGTTTTTTTAGATTGCCGGCCAACCTGTCTATTTGCTTGATTGTCTGTTATTCTGCCCGATAGGCAGATAAATAAACAGGATCTATCTATCTATCTATCTATCTATCTATCTATCTATCTATCTATCTATCTATCAATCTATCTATCTGTCTGTCTGTCTGCCTGTCTTTCTGTCTGTTTGCTTCTCTGTTTGTCTGTCTGTGTATCTGTCTGTCAAACTGCTTAAGAAATTCTATGGGATTATTTTATACATTATCACCGTTGTGCCAAACCACTTGTCAATTTCTTTTATGATAATAATAGAATAATAGTAATGGGGAATTATAAAGCGCCTAACCCTAAAAGACTCTCTAAGGGCTGTAAAACACAGAATTATCAACCAACGTCCTTGTCTCTGCTTCGATATGTGGTGTATTTAGTTGCAATATCCATTTCGTCCCCCTTGTGGTAGAATACCTGTCAAGTTCTTGTTTGTCTAGAAATAATACGTAATATACCATCATCTGTCTAGCTTGTTCTCGTATAGAATATCTTTAATTTTCTCCTGGGAGATTTCAGAAAAGAAGTGGGAGATATCCAGTTAACAAAGCTTAGGAAAACGATTCCAGGCGAGCGTCTTTTCTTTAAAGGTCAGTTGATCAGTCTGCGTCAGTACAGACTTGAGAATAATGAACTGTCATTTCACCACTTTTTGAAACCGAGTTTCTTCTTCACTTTCGATACATATTCAATCTTGATCCTTTGTCAAAAAGGGTTAGTGGCTCTAATTTATGCTAAATAATGAATATTTAATTTTCATATTTTGTCAAGATTCAGCAAGTGGTTTCAAATTGTACCATTCGGAACAAACGATAAAGAAGCTCAGCCTTTGGGTGATAGTGATAGCACTTAGCACGAATTTTCATCTCTTCACACGTGTGTAAATAGGTATTTGACCATAGACAGTGAAAGATCATGTCAGAATGATAAGAGATTGTTTCAGTATACTACTATTTTTGCTGGGGTAATAATTATAAAATTACAGAGAGCTTGCCGTTGAGCGGGAATTTGCACCGCCATACAATTGCTTGTTATTATTATAGCGAAAATGAACCAAATTCTCGTTGGTTTATTTTCTGATATTGATCCTTTCTGAATTTAATTTTAGGTTACTTTGTTCTGCCACCATTGCATTTCACCTGTGGGTGCACCTTCTATACAACGTCACATTTTCAGATCTTAAACTTAATCACCATCTTTTAGTTTCGGCAAAAGATAGAAAGCACAAAAAAACCCAATAAACAGCGTAGGCAAAAATGTGCATATTACCACTAGAAAGCACTCAAAATATAAAGGCTGACAAATCAAATACGAACACGCAGACACACACACACACACACACACACACACACACACACACACAAACACACACACACACACACCCGCATACACACATAAGCGTACGTGCACACACACACGCACACACACAAACACAAACACATACACACACACAC